TATATATATATTTATATGATATACCGCTGCATCATTTGTACACATTTTTTGAGTGTATTTCATACTCGTTCTTTGTATAAGTTTCCTAAGTACTTCCTTAAACGTTATATTCCTGCGGAGGCATACAGGAAGGTTCATAATCTGGTCTTGAATAAATAATACATTTAGGCATTTTTTCTAAAGTCAAGCCACAGATGAAACGTTATTCTGGTAGCAATTGTTATTTATAGTCGGCTGAGTACCGAACAGGGGCAAAATTTAGGAGTGTTATTGTTAAGCATATTGTCTCTCTAGCTCAGAGAATTAGAGTGATTTTTCATATCAAAAAAGATAAATTGTCTAAATGTAATTGCCCTTGAATAAGCAGAGGATCTTAATTTCAGAACTCTTAATCCTTTTCTTGGTATTTACGACTAAGATCCACTCTATTTAATATTTAATAAAGCCAGGCAGGGTAAGATTATGGATAAGCCCAGTCTTCCTGGTGTCAGCCACAACTTTAATGTATTTTCTACAAGGGTTGTAGCTGTTAATGTCTGCGCTTGTCTGCTTAACTTGTAAGAAAGGCTATGGAATCTGGAAAAAAAAATTCTAAGTGTTTAGATCTGGCGTATTTCAGGGGGTTATTTGGCTGCTTTTGCAAGTCAGATCAAAGATTTCTTACAGCAGTGTCACCACATTCAGGCTGACATAGAGGTGGAATCCTGACCTTCTTCTTGTGTGCATGACAACCATGCTGATGAAGTCTTCTTCCCAAGTTCAACATAGAAAGCTGCATGCGGAAACGGGTTGGGGGAAAAGCTTATGTCTGCCCTTACTTCCTTCAGGGAAGTTGTGGGTGCTCAATTTGCTCATTGGAGGCATACTTTATGGTAAACTTGTGCAGATAAGAGCCATGAAGGCAGATTGAAAAGTGAGGTCAAGCTGTAACAAATATATGGTTAATTTATGCTGACGCAATTAAGTGCTAGCTTCATTTAGAGAGAGTCTTTGGACGTTACTGCAGTTTGTGTACTTAATGGTAATAATAATGCTTGTAGCTCCAAAAGGAAGGAAGGCGATGCAGATGAGAAGTGGATATTCAGATTCTCTATACTTGTGGTTCTCAAAGTTCAGTGGGAGTTGCCTCTGAGCTCCATATGTACTGGCTGCTGTGGGAACATGTTACTGTGCTACCATGTGTGCATTGCTCTGATAGCAATCCCAATGGCGCAGTGTGTGCTACCAGACATTCCCTGGCATGCATTCTGGATAGAGTTGTTTGCAGTTAGTTGAAATAACGCCAAGAAGTCAGGGATATCCTCAGTATGGGTGTTAAGTGGTTGTCTGGTTAAGTCCGCATTCATCCACTTAGGGGCAATAAGTGCAGTGCTTCACTTGAGTATGTTTGGAGCAAAGAAATCCTCCCATATAAGGTCTGTAGCCTTTTTATAGACATTTATTTAATGGGGCGTTTGTGTGATGAAGAATCCATGTGTGGGCAGCTGCTTCAGAGCTCCAGGCTGCATAAAGCACGTGTTCCCATGACAGTTGTGGGAATGCGAGTGTTCCAAATCTTCAGTAATTGTGGCGTCCCTGTATAGGTCATTAGCCCTGACAAAGAATTAAATATACCTCATGTAATAAGCATGCACAAAGAGTAAGCAAAGTGACAGTGATCTCTACCTACACTTTCAGCTGTTAAGTTGCTGTTGTCCTTCCAGAGAAGATTTTATTTTTGCTGGCAACTGAATTAATTGACTGTGACTTGGGAAGAGAAGTGACAGAACCTATAGCAAATGTGGAACTGCTTAAAAAAAGTTCCAATTTTGTTTCCTTTTTTTTTTTTTTTTAAAAACATGGAAACAATTCATTTTATTGCCAGCAGAAGTGTTCCTCAGGTCCAGAATGGCTTTTCCATGATGCCAAGAAGACAGCTGTGCAAGAAGTGACGTAAACCAGTTTAAACTGCCTTATCTTTCTTGCCAAATGGGCAAGTTTGGTTATTATATAAGGTAGAGGAGCTTCAGTAGGATAAAGGCTGGGAGTGAACCTCAATGATTAGTACACTTGATTGGGATGAATGACACCCAAGATCCAGGCCCGAACAGACTAATATAGTGACTTAATCACTAGAGTACTCTCGTCCTAGATTTCTCTCTGCTTTCCTTACCCCTCCCCCTCTTTTTCTCTTTTTTTCCTTTTCAACTGATTTCAATTCTGGTCCTAAACAGAGTGCAAAGAAACTTCAAAACCTACACATTTTTTGTAAAATGGAACAATTCCTTTCCTGCCAGCCTTCATCAGATGTCCTGGGAATTAGCAGATGGTGGTTATACGAATAAAAACTCGGTAATAAATTCTCTTGTCTATAGACACTGCCTGTAAAACAATCTTCTGGTGAAAATAAATGACTTTTCAGGGACCTTAACCAGGAATCACCCTGAAGAGTTTTGTCATCTGATTATCGGAGCTGCTAGCTCCCAATAGGGAGACCATTAACAGTGAGACTTCAATGGTATCACATACCCTCTTAACGTTTCAGATGTTACGTTGGTAAGTATCTATACAAAACATGAAGTAGATGATATCACCAGGTAGTGACTCGTAATCCAGTATGATTGAGAAAGACGGTAATAAATGGGATGTTAAGGATTTTTTACTAGCAAGTAGATGGATTATTTCTCAATGATTTGATTGTTTTAACCCCAAAGTTGAACTTAACAGGATGATTTTTTTGTACCCGCTAGGAAAAGCATCAACCTAGTAGAACCTCAGAACGTAACGCTCAGATGTGCTTAGGTGCTTAGCTTGCTTTGTTAGTTAAAGGGAGGAGTTTGTGCATAACTTCTCTACTGCCTTTTTCTGTCACTTGTGGGACTTTAGGCAGTTATGGTACTTTCCTCACATGGCAGATCCATGTAAATCCATAAAGGAGAAGAGAAACTGGCAAACTGTATAGGCAAATGACTTCTTTTCCTGTCTTATATTTCTGCTGTTTTTGTTTTTTTCCTCTCTGCCCCCTGGCCCAGCCTGACATCAAAGACAGACGTTCTTTCTCCTTAGTAAGAGTAAGAGGACAAAGACCTTGTGCTCTGCTCTTTAAGTATGCAGCATGTGAGAAAACACAGAAAAAGTGTTACCTTGAATCTTTTCTGAA